AACCGACCAGACTTCAGTATTTACTAGATAACCGGAGCTACAAATACGTTTTAAACAAGATTCAAAAACCATGTGATAGCTAACTTAAATATATACAACTTTACTGAAGACCACTTTTACAAATAATAATGTTAAAGGCCTCATTTCAGGATATACATTTTGAGTATATACACAGCCACTGCATCAAAATTCTGGGCATAAACCCGACTTAGAAAAATATTATAAAATCAACCAAAATTCCAAATTGTATGATTTAAACTCCTATAGAAAGCTTATAACATGTACTACAAGTTTTATGATCATTACATTTTCATATAGCCAAATTAGGATCATAAAATACAGCTAAACATCTTAATCAACAAACCTGTCCGGATATATAAAAACAACATGCATGTACAATTTCACAAATTCATAACAAATTCAAATCAACTCTAAATGACTTGATTCAAAAACTAACGGATTTCTAACTTAAATAACTACAACTTTCAGAAGACAATATTGACAAATAACAACATCATCAATAAGTTTAAACACCAAACTTACAGTTCATAAAATCTGATAGGAATAATTTCATGCTACAAATAACACCTAAATATATTAACTACAACTCATGCTACCGAGCTCATATCAATATGTATTTTACCTCACTAGAAAGATAAGAAAGATATATACAACTTTTATGATGGTCACTTTTTCAGTTGAGCATTTTAAGATATGATAAACAGATCAAACATTAAGTGAATACAAGCTGCCGGGATTTTATAAAAATTGATTGCACGACGATGTTTCAAAAATCATAACTTAATCGACATAAATCGGATTCATGAAATTCTAAAGGCAAGAGAAAGCTAATGAAACGAACTACATTTCATCTGAAGAACACATTTTCAGAAAACAAATGCTTGAAGTCATAACCGAGGAACCTTACCTCCTTCAAAAAAACAAAAATGTGGAGAAATGAAAGAGGTGTTGCTCGGTTCTTCTGCTTCTCTTCCTATCTTGCTTGAAATCCGATTTTCTCTCTATTTGCTCAAGTTATTCAGGTTTTTAATGGTCTAATACAGCTAAGGAATGAAACACAAGAACATGATAAGAGGGGACATAAGATCTAGATCCCATCTAAACCAAAAACTAATATTTTACCAACACATGATGCCAAAAGAGAGTAACATGGTTCTCTAACTCATGAATGAGTATGGATTCGGTTTTGGCACTTAAAATAGCTGAACAAAATTTATCAACTTTGTTTTTGATGCCTACTAAAAGGATTGAGAAGAAAATAAATTTTACGGAACCGAAATCGGACTTAAAATCTGACAATAATTGAAAACCGAAGAATTTGACTACAATCAATTTTTCCTCTTCTAATTCGGTTTTTATAGATAAAAAAATACTATTAAAAAGATGGTAATGTAATAGTCTTAAGGTCTTGTTGATTCGTTTTGATGTTCGGGTCGCAACGGTTCTAAAACGAATTCAAACGAACAACAATTCGGCTTACGCGATTAAACCGAAAATTCAAACGACGATTGATAAAATAAAATTCACCGAGCTATATAATTATAGTATCTGTATAATAATAAAAATATATAATCACATAATCAAGGTATATATAAATATTAAAATAAAATACCATTAATTAAAATAAACTCATAAAAATCTAATATTCGAACGGGGCGCTACAATTCCCGTCAAATCCAAAGGGAAATTCATGTTTGAGCAAAAGGTAGAATATGAGTACTTCCCACAATATTGCAACCATTGCAAATACATCGGACACTCTACCTCCAATTGTGGGAAGCGTATAGCCCACATTGAGAAAATAGCCGAAAGCAAGAAACCGGTCGGAGAAACCGGTACCATGGTGACTACCAAGGTTGCGGTGGGACCAAAAAGAAATTTACAACAAAGAAAGAAAAGGGAAAATACCAACAAAGAGCATGGGGAGTGACACAAAACCAAAGAGGTGGAGGTCGTAGAGGAAAACCAAAATAAAGGTGATCAAGAGAAAGAGGGCAACGGGGATTGTAATACAATGAAAGAAGCGGTGACCTCGAATGACAGTTCTTTCTCTTCTCCAACTGGGGACTTGGAGGTCCACGAGAATCCTCCTCCGGATAATGAAGATGACTCCTTCCAAGTGGTAGTCAAGTATAACAAGATTCTCACCCGTAGTGGAGCCGCGAGCAAAGCCGCCGCTACTACGGGTCTATATTCCAAGCTTAGAGACAAACCAAGCGGGAGAAGAAATGGGGGCAAGGTGAATTCGACGAAGAAGGGGGTCCAACCCCCCTCCTCTCAATGATTATCGCCTCATGGAACATTAGGGGCTTTAACGGGCCCCTAAAACAAGATGAGGTGGAAAACCTCATCTGGAGAAATAATATTGATGTTTTGGGACTCTTGGAAACGAAGAACGACACTAGGCGGCTCTCGCTCTTTGTGAATAAAAGGTTACCCGGTTGGACTTTTTGCGAGAATTTTGATGTTGTTGACCGGGGGCGCGTTGCCATCTTATGGAAACCCACGAAGGTTGACATTGCGATGGAGGCCGCTTTGCCCCAAGTCATTTTTTCAAAGATCCGTTGCAAGGTTAGCAACCATTTGTTTATTGCAAGCTTTATTTACGGACTTCACTCGAGGGGGGACCGAAAGTTGTTGTGGAATGACCTTAGGGTATACCGGGGAAGGACCTCCTTGCCTTGGTTGCTCCTCGGGGACTTCAATGCCATCCTCAAACCGGAGGAGAGAATTAAAGGGGAGAGGGTCACCAACCGGGACACCATGGACCTTCTGGAAGTTTGTAGTGACTTGGGATTGTCGGACATCCCCTCAAGCGGTTTCTACCACACTTGGACCAACAATCATGTTTGGTTGAAGCTTGATAGGGCAATGGTGGACACTCAATGGGAGAATGCCGACCTATTCTCACATGCGACCTTCCTACCTCCGTGTATTTCCGATCACTCTCCTTGCATAGTTACAATATTTAAGGCGAGGAACACTACGGGGTCACCATGGCGGCTCTTTAATATGTGGATGGCCTACGAGAAGTTCTTGTCGAACGTCCAAGACACTTGGAACCATGGGGGTGGAGGATTGAGGCAATTCCGCCTCGCGAACAATTTGAAGAACCTTAAAATCTCGCTTAAGGCTCTTAATGAGGAGTCTTTCTCACATATCTCCTCCCGGGCTAAAGAAGCGAAGAAGTCCCTCAAGGATGCACAACAAGAACTCCATGACCGACCCAATGACCACGAGACCAAGGCCAAGATGCCTTCGCTTAGACTTGAAGCTCTCAAATTGGCCAAAGCGGAGAATATCTTCTACCAACAAAAGGCTAAAGGTAACTTCCAAATCAAAGGGGATAAATGCACCAAGTTCTATCATGGCTTGGTAAAAAAGCGAGCAAAACGTAACTTCATCTCCTCGATCAACTAGGAGGACGGCACCATCACCGAATCTATGGAGAAAGTAGCCAAAGAGTTTGTCTATTACTACGAGGCTCTCCTGGGAACCGGAGTCGAAATGGAGGATATTGATCCTCAAATCCTTCGGGCGGGACCGCGCGTCGGAATTGATGATTATAGGGGCCTCATTGCCCCGGTCACCGAGGACGAGATCAAGAACATACTTGGAGACATCGAAGGTGGTAAGTCCCCGGGTTGGGGTGGTTATACCTCTACTTTCTTCTTGAAGAGTTGGCCCATCGTTGGAGGTGATGTGGTGGTGGCCATCCAAGAGTTCTTCTGCTCCGGCTCACTCCTCAAACAATGGAACCATACGACCCTCATGCTTGTTCCGAAGTCCCCCCACTCCTCACAAGTCACGGACTTTCGGCCAATTGCATGTTGTAACACGGTTTACATGATTTGTTCCAAAATCCTTGCTAGGCGAGTTAGCGAAGTCCTTAACTCCATCATAGATGAGGCCCAAGCCGCTTTCGTCAAAGGAAGGAATATGAACGACAACATACACCTAATGCAACAACTACTTTGACTCTACTCGAGGAAACGGGTCTCCCCTAGGTGTATCATTAAAATAGACCTACATAAAGCTTTTGACTCCATCTCATGGTCATTCTTGAAACAAGTGCTTGATGGACTCGGCTTTCCCCTGGTCTTTACAAGACGGGTCATGGAGTGCGTCACCACCCCGTCCTATTCTTTATCTATCAACGGGAGCCTCAAGGGCCACTTCAAAGGCGGTCGCAGCCTAAGGCAAGGCGACCCCCTTTCACCTTTTCTTTTCATGATTTGTATGGAATACCTCTCTCGGCTTATCAAGAGAAAAACGACGTTAGACACGAACTTCAAATACCATCCGATGTGCGAGAAATTAAAAATCTCGTACCTTGCCTTCGCCGACGACCTCATGCTTCTATCCCGTGGAGACCCCCATTCAATCCAAGTTCTCATGGATTGCCTCAAGGATTTTGGAGCTAAGTCGGGGCTTGAGATGAATGTAGTAAAGTCCAATATTTACTTGGCCGGTGTCAAGGACGATAGTCAGGCTACAATCCTTGACAACACCAACCTACGATGCGGCTCGATGCCCTTTCGGTACCTCGGCGTCCCCCTCACCGCGGACCGTATCACGGCTAGGCTCTTTGATGATATGATTAAGCAAATTGAGGGTCAACTTAGTCGATGGAATGGACATACTCTTTCCTATGCCGGAAGATTAAAACTCCTACGCTCGGTGGTCCAAGGCATTGTGTGTTTTTGGATGGGAATCTTCCACCTGCCCGACATAGTTAGAACAAAAATCACTCAACTATGTAGAAGGTTCCTTTGGGGATCAAAGAGCGCTCACGTGGCTTGGGATAGTGTATGTCTACCGCGCTTGGAAGGTGGTTTGGGGCTTAGGGACTTGATTGCGTGGAACCAAGCGTTGCTCACCCGGATGCTATGGAACATGCAAGCAAAAAAGGACACATTGTGGCAAAAATGGATTCACAACATTTATTTGAAGGGGAACTCCATTTGGGAGTGGGAAGTAAGACCGAATGACTCACCTCTCTTCAAGTCCCTCATAGACATCCGACAAACCTTGGTTGAGAGAGCGGGAAGTGAACGAGGAGCGGAAGCCCTTCTTCGAGGTTGGAACTCCCATGATAGACAAGATGGGTCTAGTAAATGTTACGACTTCCTATGACCTAGAGGACCCATGAGGCCATGAAGTGGTGTTGTTTGGGGGGCTTGAAATACCCCTAGGCACTCCTTCATTCTATGGCTCAGCGTGCTTAATCGACTCCAGACTAAAGACTGCCTTGAAATCCTAGATGAAGACCCGATATGCCCTCTATGCGGGGTAGCCAACGAATCTTCGAGCCACCTCTTCTTCGAGTGCTCCTTTGGCTCTAAAATATGGGATGAGATATGCGCTTGGGTTAGCCTTCGTCATAGGCCATCAACCCTTAAAGGCGCCCTCAAATGGACCAAGAAGGAGGCGAAAGGTGCGGGGTGGAAGTCCAAGTTGAAGAAAGTGGCTTTTGCGGCCACCGTTTACTACATTTGGAACGCAAGGAACCAGTTGGTCTTTGAAAATGAATACCAACCCCCATGCCTTGTGGTCTGGAAGGTAAAAACTCACGTATATCGCACTATCTTTGCTCTATATCCTAATGTACTTGCTGAATTTGAGAGGCGGAGTCTCATACCTTGATGTTTGGTATTTGAGAGTT